CTTGTATCTTCCTCCCCGCCCCTTTTGTCACCTTCTGACAAAAGCCATCAATTCACCCTATTGAACACTGATCCCCAATCATTTAAACATATTGTAGTTGAATTTCCACGAGGGAGAATGAAAATATGAGATGGGTAGATCATTCCTCCACTCACCCTGGAGTGGGGTGGGGAGTAAAAGCTAGGATCAACTTTGAGATTTATGCTTTTTCCCTTCTCCAATAAGTCACTTAACCTAGATGCTGCCTAGCAGATTGTAAGCTCCACAAGAGAAGGGATAGTTTGGGTCTTTGTAATCCCAATATAAAGCTTTTTATGTTTTAATCTAGATTTATGATTTCATCTGTGAATAGGGAACTCCCTATATGGAAACTCTCTTCATCAGTGAAAACTAACAACTGATCTACGATTTATTGTCCTAAAGCTGCCCATAGCTACTCAGCCAGGATGAATCTGAAGTAAGACTTGAACCCAAGTTTTCCTGACTACTAAGACAGACTGCCTCTCACCATACACATAGGGAGTCTTAAATAAATGTTTGTTAAATTGCATGGAATTGACCTCCCTGTTCCCAATGGTGATAAGAGCACTTGCCCACTATTGATAACAAGAAAATTAATATGCCTTTTTCCTAATTTTTAAGGGCACAGATTTTTTTCTGGTAAATGTGAATCTCATGATAATTTCAATGGGAGCAAACTGTAGGGAGACACACAAGAATGAATGTCTCAGTACAGGTCAGAAATCCAGGAGAGGAAGTCCCACATATTTGTGGCATACAAGGCAGAAACTCTGAATACCTGAAAACAAGTGCAAAGCATTATGCAAACCTCACAGAACATGCTAATGTATCAATATTCTGGACTCATCTGCCAGTTTCCTCATAATCATGATGTGCCCACATATGAAGTGATTACTGTAACATACCCTGGAATAATTAATACTAGGCTGCTTGAAACAAAGAGGAAGAGAGTCTGTACTTAAAAAGAGGGAGGAGATTCAAAGTTGGCTCCTGCCAGAATGAAACAGTCCTAGACTACCAAATGTTTTAGAGAAAGAATTCTATGGAACTAAAGAGACGTATCTCCAAAACAACTGGTTGGTGAAATCAGTTCAGTCAAGCATCTATCTGGTCAATTTGTTGGGGGAAAATGTCAACCAAATAATGTATGTAAGGTGCTTCACAAACCTTGAAGCACTATGTAAATGCTATTTATTATTATTATTATTATTGTCAATATATTATATAATTACTATTATTAGTTCCATCAAAATGGCTAAAGTGATAACTACTTAAAAAAAACACTTGTATTTTAAATATCCACAGAGCACACACATTGTCATTTGAAGAACTCTGCCTTGATATTGATATTGCCTTACCTTTTTCCTCTGAATATTTGAACGTTAGACTTTTCTTTTAGGAGGATCTGATGCAAATTGAATCACACCTCCCCACCTCCCATCCCCAGCACTAAGGGAAGCTTAATCTGTTTTTCCATCCAAGCTGAACATTGATTGGCTAGCTTCCCACTTGCACATAGACTTAAGCTGAGTGTGAAATAATGAAAAGTTGTACAGAGTTCAGACAAAGGGATCCTGGGGACCTGAAAGGACATGGTTACCTCAGTGGCAATTGAGGCAGTAGATACCATATATGTTGCTCATTGGGGTGCAAGTCATTGAAGACTCCCTCCAAGGCTAATGACTGGAGATTTGGATTCAGTAAGTCACCAGCTTCACAGGCATTAAGCAGGTTAGTATTCCAAAGGGCAGATTACTTATAGAAAATGAACTCTAGATCTAAATTTGTCTTTAATGCTGTTTTCCTATTCCATTACAATCATTATGAAAAAATTCCTCTTGGGGTCATAAAAATTGTTTTGGTAAAAAGCTTCTCCAAATTGTCAACCGAGGCATAAAAGTAACAGCTATAACTGAGAGAGTTACTTCATCTAATAACATACATGTCATAGAGATGTGCAATTGCAGACTATGTTTAGGGAGAGATAACATAGCAGGTCAGACAATGCATTGAACTGATGACCACTAAATTGCCTAGCTATTCAAATGCAGTGACTGCATCAACCAGGTGTCTAGCAGCCCTCAAATAATAACCACCACCACCAATGCCTATCACATAGTGAGAGCTTTTAATAAATAATTGCTGATTGACTAAACAACCAACATTTATATAATGCTTTTAAATCTGCAAAGACCTTCATCTCACCCAATCCTGACAAGAACCCTTAAAAGGTAGGACAACAGGTATTGCTATTCTCATTTTAGGGTCGAAGAAACTGAACTTCAGAGAGGTTAAAGGACTAGCCCACGGTCACACAGTATGTATATGTCAGAAGTGGTATCTGAACCCAAATCTTCCTGATGCCCAAGTTCAGCACTCTCTCTACTAAGCCATACTGCATACCCATCCTTAATGCTCAGGTTAGACCTACCCAGCACTTTGCTGAAAATGTCAGGAATGTTGAAACTATGTAATTCTAGCATGCATCAGCTTTCAGTTTTTCTCCCCTTTTATAACCAGTATTTAAAATATAGTCATTACAAGTCAACTAAATGATACACAAAGGGTGTACTAAAACATAAATCTTCAAAAAAAAAATAGTCCCACAGACTAACATATGAAATCAAGGGACTCCTGTGCACAAGGAATTGGCTGTCAGCCTCACAGAAAAGACCATCTCCATGGCTATAAAAGGGTTAACCATTTTTTCTTACTGCCCCAATGCCCTCCCAGTAAAGGGTCACAGAAGGTGTTATACAACCCATCATTTGACTCCTTCCTTCAGTTTATGGAGATAGAATTCTTTGGGGACAAAATAAGTGAGAAACATGAAAGAAAATGATAGCAAGAGAGGGAAAGAAAGAAATAAAAATATCTTTAATATTGAGTAACTAGTTAGTCATTCAGTAAAGTTTCCCTTATTTATAACAAAGAGGACATGATATACAAATCCATTGATGTGAATGGAAAAGTAGATCTTAAACTCATGTTAGTTGAAAATGAATTTCCCCTGGAGTTTAAATGATGTGCCCTTGCCTTCATAACTCTGTGATCTGGACCCTCCAGCCCTGGAATGTGCCCCAGTGTTCTCTCTCCCTCTCAACTTCCAGTTCCCTGTACAAGTAGACAAATATAACTTTTCTGTGTATTCATGCAAAGGAGAATATGACTGGTATAGGGGGGGAAATGAGATAGAAAGAAAGATTCTTTGTCTTTTGGTTAGGAATGAAATTATGTTCTCTTCACTCATTTGAGAGAATATATTACATTTACAAATCTAGCAGTCAGTATTGAGTTAAATGCAATCGACCTTCTTCCTGAACCAAAAGCAATTGCCAGAATCTTTCAAACTAGGAACCTATTAGCTTTTCTTTGTCAGTTTATGCATGGCTAAGTAAATGAGCATATGAGTAGGGGTGTATTTGTGTGTGGGGTGTGTGTGTGTGTGTGTGTGTGTGCGCGCGCGCACACGCACTTGTGCATATGTAAGCAGGAGGGAGATATTTTGCTTCACTGTGTGCTGTGGTTATGGGTACAGAATACTTAAGGCTGTGACTGTGGATAACAGGGTCACGCATATAGACAGCTAAAAGAAAATAAATATTAAAACATTACTTCAAAATAACATTAAGAATATGCCTTCCAGAAATCAAAAAAAGTCAGGACTCTGACTCTAAGAAGTCAAGGAGATCACTTCTTCCTTATCCTCAAATCAGGTCAACAGAAGGTTTTTTTAAAAGGAGCAGCCTGCTTTGAGCTCCTGACACAGATTTGCATTTCCTCTCTCGTGGTATATTTTACATCATGTCCTTAATATTATCAAAAGTGTTATCATATTTTTAACTTTCCCTCTTGTTCTGTTTAGAAAGCAGAAAAATAAAGTTAAAAAAAAAGTCTGCAAGTGGCAGTTAATCACATATGAAAGCACTCAGGTAAACGTGTGGTTATGCGGAAGTGTTTACATCATTTAAATATTTATAGCTTCATTTAACTCTGTCTAATACTGATGCACTGAAACATCTCCCTGTAGACACTCTGGTCTATTGATTAAATAAGGGTAATCTGTTTCAAAATGCATATTATTTAATCATTAGACCTTAATGGCATCCTAGGAGCTGTTTCAATCTATCATCCAAACTTATAAGTAGGCATAGGATAAATCCTTGTGAAATAAATTTCCTCTTTGAAAAATTAGACAATACACATTTACAGGGAAGCCACTTTCAAAAAAAAAATCTTGGCATAAAAATATCCATTATACACAAATGACAATTTCATATTTTGAGCCACCTGGGTCAATCATTAAGACTAAAAACAAAGGCCAAATGTCACATACAACCAGATACATCCTTTTTCCTTTCATTATTTTCTTGAGATGCTTCCCATCTTCATCTGAAGAATTGACTGAGAATTGACTTTGGAGCCAAAAACATTTCAAGCCAAATTAACAAACCCCTGAAAATTGAGGTTTTGTGCGAGAATTCTGATAGACTGTTACCACAAGCAAGGCCAAGCCAACCGCCCCCCCCCCCAACAGCCACAGACTAAAGGAAGAGAATCCACTTAAACAAACAGATTTGCTCCAGCTTACAGTCTTACACCAAAGGATAGCATTGGGTTTAAGATAATTATCTTGTCTAACTATAAAAACTGATGCTTACTCTGGGGTTTTACTGACAGGTTTTATAAAATGTCAAACTGTAAAATAAGCATTTATCTACACATGAAGAATGTTGTATTTTATAAATACAAAAAGTACTGTCTGTTGGCATTTAATGAAATATTTCCCTGATCCTGGCTTCTGCAATGGATGAATATTGAAGCAAACGTCTGCACCATTGAGCTAGATGTGTCTGTTATTATTACAACTGATTACAACTGATCTAAACCAACAGAACATATATATATATATATATATATATATATATATATATATATATATATATGTATATATATAATATATATATATGTATGTATGTATACATATATATACACACTCTTCCTCCTGGTAGTAGAAAGCCATCTCTTTTCATAGCTAGCAACCAAAAATCAAGTAATGTCTGTGGCCAATCATTGGTTCTCTTTTTTCATTGGGTAAGTACCTGGCTCGTTCAGCTTTGTGGTTTTCCCACACACAGTAGTAACAGCAGAGAATAATTTCCCCTACCCAGGGGGAAAAAAAGAGAGAAAAGTATACTGGTGAGAGCCTCTCTTTTTCACTTTGAGCTGTACCCTGGACATTCTGGACAACTCTTGGCACAAGTTAGCATCACAACTAGATGCTTGTTAGAGTTTGCTAATGTTCTGTTCCGCAAAGGCAAGAAAACATAATCTCCATCCAAGTGTTTAGTGCTTCCCAAAACATGATACAAAGATAAAAAAGGAAGAAAAAAAGTGCTTGAAAAGAATCTTCAGTGATATCTTGAGAGGGGAAACTGAAGGGTAGCACCCCCCTCTCACATAAGCTGTACCCCTTTTCCAAAAAACATAAATAATTCCAGCCCAGGCTATGTAGAGGGGGCTGTCCTAGAAGATTTTCCTTAAATGAAGCAAAACTTTTTCCTTAATGGTTTCCAATGAAATTGCCATTCCTATGATGTGGTCTCTCTTGGCCTTCAAGGCCTTACAACTTTTTGGCACCTTCATGGCAGGCTGCTGCTCTGATCGTGGTCCCAGCTAACCCCCTGTTGCTGACCCTCCGGACCAGCACTTTGGAAACAGGGATTTTTGTTCTGGGGATCTCACTCTTGGTCGGGTGATGGTGCACCACAGGATGGCTGGCAGGGAGGGATGCTAGGTGTTTGATGCTGATGGGGATCTTGGAGTCCTTGATCAAACTGCTGGGTGTTTTCAGGGGACAGGTTATGGTCACTGGAGACACCGGCTTTGAGCGGGACAAGCAGGTCACTTCTTCATCAGAGGGTAGACCTACTGGATTTTCATCTGGATCTGTGTAGAGATCATACAGAGCATCCCCACTGTAGCTGTCCCTGGGGATGCCTTCTTTCCGGATACTGCTTGTGCTGTCTTCCTCCGGGCCAGGAGTTGTAGAATCCCAGTAACCCTCATCACTGTTGGGGACACCTTCCTGCTGCTCCTTTTCTCGGTGCTTGGAATCCTCCTTCTGATGCAGCTCAATGGGAATCCTGTGGATCCTACTCCTTTTGACCAAGGAGCCATCCCTAGCTCCTTCCTTACCCCTGCCGTCTTTGGAGGATTCAGGCGCTACCTTGGTTTCCTTGGCGGCGGCGGCGGCTGCGGCTGCTGCTGCTGCCTTGGCTGTGATACCCTGGGGCTCTTGTGCTTCTTGATCTTCTGTCTGGGATAACATGTCCCAAAATTCCTGGAGGTAGGTGTCGTCCACTTCGTCTGGGCTGGCCATCTCCTCCCCTCCTCCCTGGTAGGCCACCAAGTTGGGGTTCTTTTTGGAGGGAGCTGGCTTGCCTGTCCCAGAGGCATTCTTGTCGCAGCTGGCACCTGCTTCATCCTCCTGGTCCGCAATAATATCTCCACAGCCTGTAAGAGAGTCAAAGCTTTTCAGTGAAGTGACGTCAGCAAACATCAAACAAATACGATCAATCGATGGCTCTGAGGGTGGATCAATAGAGGAAGGGTCAGGGGCAGCAGTGTCAGGGCCACTGTTACACCCAGGTTCAACAAGGGGGATAGTCTTTATTGGAACGTCACCTGTTCTAGCTGCATCCTGGGCTGTCCGGCTGTCCCCAGTTCCCGGTTCCCGCGACTCTCGGTGCCTCTCCTCATGCCGATACCCAGCGGCATCCTCTCCCGGTGTGTTTTTGTTGTTATGCAACACCGGGCTAAGTGACTCCCCAGAATTCCTCACGTTAGGCTTGTCCACTGATGCGTTCACCTCTTCTCCCCCGCGGAACTCACAGGATGGCTCTTTTCTAATTTCCTTGCTGGACTTTTCAGGTTCACACAAAGGTTTGGGAATTTCCTCCTTGATACACTCCAAGCTGGCTGTTAACGAGCCAGGCAGAATGAGGCTGGACTGGATTTCTGAGGGTTCCTCCTTTTCCTCTTCCTTTCCGTGTTTATCCTTCTTATGCCAGCGCATACTGCTAAAGATCCCTTTCAGCCCTTTCTTTTGTTTGCTGCCAGCCTTGTTTTGATCTGTATGTTCTCCTTTGCCATTCTCCGATCTCCCGTTCTTTCTTAACAGCGAGAAAAAACTGTGCGACTTGGCCACGGAGCTGTTGGCTAAAGAACTCACACTGGTCACCACAGCTCTGGGGTGGGTATCCGTGTTCAGCTGGTCCCCGCCGCCACCACCAGCACTGCCCCCGCCGCTGCTCGGTTCCTCCTTCTTGCTGCTTTCCAGCATCAACACCTCGGCTAATCCATCATGAGTCTTGCTTCTCACCATCCCCGTTTTACTCGAGCTTTTCCCATCCCCTTTGTTTTTTACCCCAAATATACTGGGCATGGTGCCACCCGATTTCCTCTTCTTAAATAATTTGAAAGCGGTTTTATTAATCTTCCCGGAGGGCTGCTCTGCTGCAGGAGTTTCGGCGGCACAGTCACAATGCAAGTCCATGTCTGCTGTGTGTGTCCCCGATTCTGCCTCCTCCTTCCTCCTGCAGACCCCCACAGATGCCTGATTGCTGATTCTCTCCCTGACAGCCTCTATGCTCCTGCTCCTGCTGCTGCTGCTGCTGCTACTGCTCATCTCCATGGTAACCAAGAGGGATAAGCAGCTTTCGTCAGTCATGGGCTGGAGCCAGGCCACTGTCATCCATATTCTAAATCAACCTGAGCCACTGTTGCTGCTGCTGCAAAAGCCACAAAAATAAAAGACCTCCTCCACTCCCCAGAAGGGCTTATATAATAACCTAACCCACTTTGGTCCTGGCTTACTGGTTTGAAGCGCATGTTCTTCCTCTTATTGTATGTAGACAACCAAGACTAAAGCTGATTATAGGACAACAATTGAATTCCCTCAACTCTTTCCATAAAATCCCAGTCTCCTTGTACATCCCTCCTCTAGACTTGGTACTTCCCTGAGCCCAGTGTGGGGCCACCAGCAAAACACCCTACTCCACCCCAACCGATGGAAAACTTCAGCTCATCACAAAACCCACAACTGCGTTACCATCTGGCTTGAGTTGGTATGGGCTCATTCCTTCTCCAAAGTCATTCACATCTGTCTACATCCCTGAAAAAGTAAGCCCAAAGGGCATGGACCATGCCTTAGGACTGCATTGTGTTCAGTGATGGGTATTTCCAAGGCAGTGTATTGTATGCTTATTATTATGTTTAGAACTATTCCTGTCCAAGCACTGGCAATCAGCCAAATGCAAATTATAGACATTTCTGCAATAAAATGAGGGTTATTGTATAGCGTGGAGGCTGCCTGGTCAACTGTGAGTTGGAGTTCCTATCCCAGTTCTCAATGACTCAATGGCAAGTTCACAGAATCTACCACCTGACTGCCTTTAGTTGACATCTTTTGTGGTGGTTAAAATGGAAGGGCTAAGAATTAAGTTGAAGGGCACACAAACATGTGATTTGCAATGCCTCCTCTGCAGCTGGTTCCTTTAAGGCACTGACCTTGACTCTCTCCTTTGCGGCCTTCAGGCAACCTTCCTGTTCCCATTATCACCAGTCCAACCAGTATAGTTGCCGTGGCTCTGGTTATTGCTGTTGCTGCTCCTATCCTTACCTCTGCCCATACTCCCAGGAGGCAGAGTAGCTTCTCAGGTGAGAGAGGGAAAAGAGGACCCTGTGCAAGAGAGCATTTTGTTCAGTGCTCCAAGGCGTTAGCACATTCAGAAAGGCAGAGCAATGTATCTGTGAAACATGAAGGTGGCAACTATTATGTCCCAAGTCACATAGGTAGTGACAGGCAGAGCCAAGATTCGAACCCAGATTTACTCATTCCAAATTTTCTTCCCCTAAACAAGTTTGTTGTAAGGAGGAAGAACAAGAGGGCCAGGTGAGAAGTCTATGTGGCAAACCAGTGTAGCTCTGAGAATTCTAGTTACCTGGGTGGCTGTCCCTATAAGTGCAGGTCTGTTTTTGTGCTCTACCATGTTGTGTGTGCTACTAGGGAAAATCATGTATAGTGATTTATTCTTCTGGTGTTGGAGGTCTTAAGGTATAGCAACACCAAAGGTATTGTTTGAGCAGTGATAATGCTGTAACAAGGTCAGCAATAGCTGTATCCTTGATAGCATCTTCTGAGCCCTTCCTTAACTCTCAAAGACCCCTCTGCCAAAGCCTAAAGAGCCTCCTAACCCTCAGCTGGGTCAGAGCTATTCCTCTGTTCCTCAGAGCTGCCATGGAGAGCAAGACATCAGCTCTGACCTCCTGAGCCAGGTGGAGGGTTCCAGGGGGCAATTCGACAGTAATCTATTGAGTTCTGTGTTCAGGCATTCCGCTGATACTCAATTTATAACTATAGACACCTGATTTAGTTGTAAGTAATCATCATAAGGATGATAAGTATAATTACAAGTAATTATTTGAAATTCTGGGTGACAGAGGTTTTCATAAATTTGGCTCTCTCTCTCTCTCACACACACACACACACACCCTTTCACCTGGCATATTATATTCTACCTAGCTATTTATTACTTTATTATTAGCCCCTAGAAGCGATCATTTTCTTAAAACTGGAGTTTCATTAATCTTAATATGTGCCAATCACTGCTGTTCTATTTTAATGAATTGTAGTTATTTTGTACCTATGCCCTGAGTTTGTTGTTGTTGTTGTTTTTAATGATGAATATTATTCATTCATTCATTATTTCATAAAAGCAAGAAATCAATGAACATAAGGTTGAGAAAGCAATTAAGTCTTAGGATTCTTATTCCAGTCTCTCTCAAGACACTTTAGAACATGAAGTTTAAAAATGAGATTGTGTCTATCTTCCCAGGCGCTGGATTTCATCAAGGTAACTCCCAATGTGAAAACTCCCTCCCCCATACAGATCAATAACTCATCTGTAAAATATAAGGCTTAGATAACTAGTTGCCAGGAGGCATTGGGAGATTAAGTCATACATAAGCAAGTATAAAAGGCAAAACTTGAACCCAGGTCTTCTTGATTCAAGGAAGGCCCCCTAACACACTGTCTCAAGACAGAAGCTGAAATAGGAAGTGTTTTTTTAATAGTCTGATTCACTCAATTAAAATGAAGAAATAATTACACAAGAATTCAACTTAGTGGCATTATCTTGTTTCTCTGTACTATGTTGTATGATTGTTGAGAGGTTATGTAAACACACCAGTATACAGCATACACGTCAGCCTGGGTATTAAGTACCTGGGCCCAAAGGAGTCAATGTTGGTGGGGTTTTCTTAATGACGCTTCCCCTCAACCCCACCCTGAATACCTGCTACACACACACACACACACACACACACACACACACACACACACACACACACACACAGAGAGGATGATGGTTCATGCTGACAACTCCATTTGGGGGTGTCCTAAATGAATGAGTAAGTTAAAAGCAATTGTGCAGGTTGAAAGCTGCCCTAGTTTCAGTCTCACACTCCATATGTTGCAAGACTCTTCTGCAGCACTGAATTTTCTTTTGAGGTTTTCTTTTTAACATACTTAAAGGATTTCCCTTTCTTGTGTCTGTTAGTTGCAATTTCCTAACTCTCAACTAATAGACTCCTAGTCAGGAAATTCATCGAGGGTCAACCAGAGAAATCTAAAGATATGCATATTCTACATTATTCCTAATAATAACTGACATTCTTATGAACATTTAGGTTTGCCAAGTACATCTAGGTGGATGTTTTGGAATCAGGAACACCTGAGTTCAAATCCTGCCTCAGACACTCCCTAGCTGGGTGACCCTGAGCAATTCATTTAAACTTTCTGATCTTTACAAGCTCAAGAGGACATGACTTACTCAGAGTCACACAGCTAGCATTGTGTTAGAGATAGAATTTGAACCCAGGTCTCCCTGGCTCCCTGGCTCCAAGTCCAGCTCCCATTCAAAGGGATCTCCAGGTCTGACCCCTCTATTCAATGAATAGGGGTTCCCTATTACCTCTAGGATCAAACATATAATCTTCTATCTGGCTTTTAGAGCCCTTCATAACCTGGTCTATTCCTACTTCTCCAGTCTTCTTATACGTGATTTCCCCCAACCCCCTCCTGCCCTCTACCCCATGTACTCTGTGATCCAGTGACATCAGTCTCCTTGCTGTTCCTCACACAAGATATTCTGTCTCCTGATTCTTGGCAATTCTATGCCTAGAAGTCTTGCCTGCTCTTCTCCATCTCCTGGCTTCCATAGCTTCCTTTGACTCTCAGCTAAAGCCCTATCTTCTGCACAAAGCTTTCCCCAGTCCTTAGAACCTTCCCTCTGAGATTATCTCCAATTTATATTGTATATAGTTTGTACCTAGTTATCTGCATGTTGTTGCTTGGATTGGAGTGTGAGCTCCTTGAGGGCAGGGATTGTTTTTGCCTTTCTTTGTATCTCCAGCACTCAGCACAGTGCCTAGAACATAGTGCTTAATAAATAAATGCTTGTTGAAAGGATCCACGATGAAAAATGCTACCCATTTCCAGAGAGACAACTGATGAATTCTAATTATAGACTGATTCATACTTTTTACTTTCTTTATTTTGTACAACAGGGCTAATATGGAAATATGTTTTGCATGACTTTACATTTATAATAAATATCACATTGCTTGCCTTCTGAAAGGGTGGGGTAGGTGTGGGAGGGAAGGAGAGCATTTGGAATGCAAAATTTGTAATAATGTTTAAAATGTTTAATATAATTGGGAAATATTTAACAAAACAAATAAAATATATTTTTAAAAAATAAATGCTTGTTCACTTTACCTGACTTTCTCCACTGGGTCACACAAGAAGATATATGGTGAAGGAAGGATTTGATAAGGGCATGCTAGCCTGCAGACAGACTCTGATACTCAGAAGAAGCTTCCCTGTGATGGGTCAAAGTCAGCTTCACTTATAGATAATGTTTTGGAAGGCAGAGGCAGAATTAATACTTTTTAGAAGCTAGAAGATTTGTTGGAATAAAAGCCTGAGCCCTCCAGGAAATGGTGGACACTATAAGCTAGCAGTGTCTGCGCCTGGATGAGTCACTGACTTTTCAGGGAACAAAACAGATTTACCTTTAATCAGTGAAGGCTCAGCTCACAGGACACCTTGTGAATTGAGCGCAGAAGCAAGAGTCACATACTGTGAATCCAGGCCTTAGCTAACCTTCTGCCTAAGGCTATATTTATATGAAACCAACCCAGCCGACTGAAAGGGGGAAAATCAGCCAATCCATCAGGATGTTTTCATTTACTGGAAAGATTTGTAATGTAGAAGAAAGGGTACTGGATTTAGAGTCAGAATTCTGGGCCTCATTTTCCTAATCAACAGAATGAAAGTGCTAGACTAGGTCACCCCTAAGATTCCTATCAGCTCTAGATCCTATGAACTCTAAGTAAAATAGCTTCATGTTGTTGTTGTTGTTGTTGTTGTTGAGTTGTACCTGACCCTTTGTGAACCCATTTGGGGTTTTCTTGGCAAAGATACTGGAACAGTTTGCCATCTCCTTCTCTAGCTCATTTTAGAGATAAGGAAACTGAGGCAAACAGGGTTAAGTGACTTGCCCAGGGTCACACGGAGGCTAAGGGAGGTCAAAATTGAATTCAGGTATTCCTGACTCCACGTTCAGCACTCTATCCACTTCACCACCTAGCAGCCCACTGTAAAATGGCCACTGAACTCTAAATCTTTGGTATAAAATTCAAATAGAAATG